CACGATCTCGAAAGCCTCGACAACGCTTGTCCAGGCCGGCAACGGCACCATCAGATCAGCCTGTCTAATCGTGTGTATCCAGCTGTCTGGCACACAGCTGGGTGGTGCCTCTCGGGTCGAGAGTCCCATACTTGGATCAAGGTGTTTGCACTTGACCGCCACGAAGCCCGCAACGAAGGCCAGCGGCCCATGCTCGATGTGTGTGTCCTCGTCCATTTCGTCGCCGTAGTGGGGGTTATTTTCGGTCCTCTCGCCGTCACCGCCATGGAGCTTGCCTTTGCCCGATTCGTCGAACCCGCCGTTCTCGACCACTTTGTTCAGGATGGGCATTGGAGGCATCGCGGCTGCTTGCTGGTAGGCGGCCTTCACGTCGTCCGTATGCGCTGCCGCTTCCACCACAGCTGGATCTTGGATCTGCGACACAACGAAACGGTCATTTCCGCGTACCTATCAGGCGCATTAATCAGACCCTGTTGCATATCACCAGTTTTGTTTTTCATTACGAGAGCAAAACGTCTTGGACCCGGACATGCCCATTCTTTCGCTATCGCATGCTTGTTTTTATACACAACCACCCTCTTGTGGTCCAGCGTGACATAATTCGAGCGGGTAAGAGGGACGGTCAACGGCCGACGAGTACTGCACTGCGTGCACCACTCTGATATCTCCCTCTCCTGGCCATAACCACGGACCTATCTGGATGGACCCGTTTCATGGTCCCATTTCATGGCATCAGCTGCCCCAGGGGGGTGGCGCCGCCATTACAGTTTTTCGACGCCCCCCCCCCGAGGGCCCTCCGAGGCTCCAAAAGCAGGGCCCTCCGAGGCTCCATCCCCCCCCCCCCCCTCCGCCTCCATTCGTCTCTGCCCGTGAGGTTCGAGGCCTATGGTTTAAGCACAGGGGCAGCTTTTTGCCACGGTTTTATTGTATGTAATCCCGGAGTTTGGTGACCAGGCAAATGGCCTTTATTTGAAATCTCAGACACTACCATGAACAGTAACACGGAGAGCCCAAAAGTGGTTCAAAAGTAGCAAGGCTCGCAAAAAGCCGAGTGAACATGTACGGTGCGCAGGTGAAAGAACTGTTTAAAGCACCAGGGCAAACCAATCTAAGAATCTCATTGCTGTGCTAGGTACTGTACCTATTAACGGTTGTGGGGTTTGTTGGTCAGTTCACAGTACGTAGATGTACTGTCAATGGGGCTGGGACTCGCTCGTGCAAACTTATCCCCCCCCCCCCCACGTCGCAAACCCTGGCTGCGTCCATGACCCTCACCCCCCTTCGCCTGTGTGGCACAGATGACTGTGCCACTTGTGTGGTAGTCAGGCCCCACTTTGTAAACAAGATTATGGCCGGAAAATCTCGCTTGAATCTCGTATTGTAGTCTACAAACTGCACGGAGCGGTATGGATTATGCAAGCATTAGTGACTGTGAATCGGGTTCAAAGATTTCTGCATAAAACAAACGGGAATTTTCCTTTTAAGCACACGCACTACTCACTTCGGTGTGCCGGCGATGTCCAGTCGCATATAAGGAACTGCACTTGGTCGAAGGCATGGTTTAACATTGGGTATGAGACTGGCCTTAACCAGATGGCCAGGATCATAGTCATAATCTTAAAAATGATCAGATCAGATAAACGCATTCTCCGCATTTATGGTGTTAGTCCAAGAGCAACGGTTCACTCATGTTTCCAGGACAGTTGGATCGTTTTTTTTTGCAGAAGAAAGATGTATTTATTGTGCCGTCTCACATTCTTGCAAGAGGTCACTTCACGGGATGGCATCTTGCTGCCAAAAAAGTGCCTTTGATGCTCACTCTTGCCCCACGCTCACACACCACTTCAAAATTCTCCCATCCGCGACATAATAGCACGCACTGAGGCAACATAACAATACAAAGTTGATGTCCACACTGCACGATAATCGCAATATTACATTTGATACATTACGCTGGTATTATCCGGCCTTGACGATAATAGACAAGACCAACCACAGCATTTCTGCGTGACGACTGCTTTCCACGCGACGCAGTCGACGTTGCCATGCAACGCCTCGGCGCGAGCCATTGCGACTTTGTGACGTCACCGCCTAACGTTAACCAGGCGCCAGCCCGACCAATTTCTCAAGCTGCGATGATGACCCCCCTGTGTTCGCGTGAAAGAGACACCTCGTAAGCTAAGGTCTTCGCAAGGTGCGTCGCACCAAAACGTCTTCACTACATCTTTGCATTCGGTTGGCACTTCGTCCACGGTTGTGCGTCCATTGTGCATCTCATTTAGTTATTTGTTTATTTATGACATAAGCATTCCACAGGAGAAAGCCCAGGTACGGAAGCAGTTCAGTTTTAAGAACAACAAATGTACGATACACACACAAACAAAAACCCAACCAAACACACACACACACACACACACACACACACACACACACACACACACACACACACACACACACACACACACACACACACACACACACACACACACACACACACACACACACACACACACACACACACACACATACACACATACACACACACACACACACACACACACACACACACACACACACACACACACACACATCTACACATTACACACACTCGCACACCAAGTTATCAAGGGACTGTTCCACGCCTGCCGGCCAGCCTAAACAAATCAAATCGGAATAATTTTGTCGGATGAAAAAAGCCAGTTGATGGAGAACGCTGCAAAAATTGCTTGCAAGCAGCGGGAAGTCGTGCGACAAATCCACTTTTTGACTGTGTTGACCCTTGCAAATGGCTCGTGGAAAAGGCCGATAAGCCGAGAACACCGGACAGGTGTAGCCGGGCTGAACAGTGATGTCAGGTGAGTGCAGTCAAGCCTGTGACGAAATGCATTGCATAGAAATACAATGTTAGACCGAGTGAAGCGTGCATTGATGGATGATGTTTTGAAGAAAGCGAGAAGATGCTCATAATGTAGGACACCGAAACCGGCTACTCGAACCCAACCATATGAGAAAGCGGTGCTATTATAGTATTTCTAACCGTGTGAGGTGAGAAACCGCAGCATTGCTTCAGATAACGCTACCGTACTCTATCAATGGTCTCACATGAGCGTTAAAGGCACAAAGCAAAGCCTTGTGATTGAATCGCGCCTGACTAGGGCACGACGGCCTTTGCACGCGCTTCGTATGAGAAGAACCAGCATGCTGTTTGCTTTTGAGACAGCTGAATCTATGTGATTGGCAAAGATGAGTTTGATGCCCAGCAAGATACCAAGATCGTGGATATGCTGGCAGTTATCCAAGCGGTGACCGTCTAGTGCTTATGAGTAGTGAACAGGTGACATGCGGAGGGCGAATGAGATGGTATTGCACTTAGCTGGGTTCAATTTCAGTCCCCAGTTTTTGGACCACTCACAGAGGCGATCCAAATCCGCCTGAAGTGTGAGACAATCTGCTACGTTGTCGATTCGGTGATAAATTTTCACATCATCAGCGTACATAAGGCACTCACTCTCGATTTGTTCAGGAACATCAGTCGGAAAGCAGGCGAACAGCAACGATTCCAGGGTGCTGCCTTCCGGGACACTAGATCGCACTGGAATCCGGTCAAACTGGAATCTGGAATCTGGAATCTGGAATGGAAGGCACTGGAATCCAGTCCAGAATTCCCACGGATAGAGTCACATCACAGTTATTTAACTTTTTGACGTTCATCATCACATCACATCACAATGTGATGTGATGTGATGACGTCATCACATCACACCACAATGTGATGTGATGTGATGATGTCATCACATCACATCACATCACAGCACAGTTATTTAACTTTTTGACGTCGACCGCCTTATATACATGCTCATCCACACCACGCGCAAGTGGCGTACTGCAGACCGAAAGAGCAAGATACACGGAGAGGGTGCCGGGTACAAAGTGCAAATTGAGCTGTATCTTGTTATCCATCCCGCAGGTCTGGCCACCGACATTATTCATGTTTTAAGACACACGCGTGACCACCAGTGCGATGGATGAGTTCCAGATCCCAGGAAATTTGGGAGGGCTATTATTGTCTTTTGGCCTTATGATATGGCGCGGAAACAGAACTACACCCGTAACACTCCACGGGCGCTGCATATAGCTATCCATGCGTGCGGAGGTTCTCCGCTCAGAAGGCGCGGACACCCTGCGACGTTCAGAGGTGCGGGGAGGGCACAGTGATGACGTGACGGAGGGTGGCACCTTGACGAATCCCTGACTTGACTTGACCTGACTTGACCTGACTTGACCTGACTTGACCTGACCTGACCTGACTTGACCTGACTTGACCTGACTTGACCTGACTTGACCTGACTTGACCTGACTTGACCTGACTTGACCTGACTTGACCTGACTTGCCAGACCACTTCGAAGGTTCGCCTGCCGGGCGCAGCAGCCTCTGCTGGACCACCTGCTGTCAGCGCCATCTCCCTGCAATGTCTGCCAGGATGCCTCAGCATGAACGCGCCAAAACGCCAGCAACGCCGGCGAAGAGAGAGGAAAATGCAAAAAGGTGTCCTGATTTAAGGAAAAGCCGCAATTCCCACTGGCTGTTTGAAAACGTATCTTCATCCGCAAAAGTCGCACGGATTTTCTTCAATAGTCCAGAAGCGCTATTTTTCTCAGACTTTAGCGTTCTTTGGAAACCCCGGCGCGGCTGACCATGGATCCGCCCCTTTTTCCCCAACGTCTCCACTGTCAGGAACACCCCCTAGCAACATGCCTGCCAGCCTCCCCAAGTGTCCCCCAAGTGTCCCCAAGTGTCCCCAAGTGTCCCCAAGTGTCCCCAAGTGTCCTCCGACGCCATCACCACGCCCCTGTAATGCCGCAGTTCGAGCGGCAATATTGGCTCATCGTCACCGCCCGGTCCAAAATTAGCGCCCGCGGCACCGCCCGTCAGCTGACTGAGGAGGGAGGGGGAGGGGGGGGGGGCGTCAGTGGCCGCGTGCTGGCAGTCGGCTGTGAGGTCGGCAGGCCGTGACGCGCGGCTGCCAGCGACGGCACAGCGTCGTCAAAAGGCGTGTGACGTCACAGCAGCGTCCCCCGCAGGTGAGACGCCGTCATGTCCCTCTTGGTTTGAGAGGGTTTCGTTTTGGGGTAGGAGTGTGTAGCAGAGGGCGTATTTGCGGCAGGCTGGATTACCAGACCTACGGGTTAGATAATGCATCAGATAATGCATTGTGTAGCTGGTTCTACCTTTGATTTATGTCAAATCAATGACGTGCATGGCATGCCGATTCTGATGCTACATGCTAAACCCTGGCAGATGCGAAGTACCGAGAAAGCCTTTCGGTAATGGCAGGCCTGGGGACAGGTAGCCAGACTTCTTTGAAGATGATAGCCGTGAAAGAGAGAGACATGAGCGTTTGATCTCCCAGAATCATGAGCTTCAAACGTGGGCAGCGGGCTAAAAATACCCCATTTACTGGATCTCAGCCTATTTCTAGCCTGCACTTCACAGTTCTTAGCAGAACTTCTAGCATACTTACGACGCAGCGGTCTTGGTCACGCGCACGGCAAAATAATTTTGCCACGTGCAGCGTCTTTTTACGGTGAAATCGTACACGTAATAATGTGTTCGCGTGCACTCCTCATGATAATTTCGCATCGTGGCGTAGGGAACCGACTGCTGCGCTTAATGACGATCCACTGAAAGACGCCTAGGGTGTCTTTTCGTTGCATTGTTATGACCTCTAATGCGACTTGCCTTTATGAACCAAACACATCGTCTTTTCGGGTTACGTGCCACAGGTGTAAAGCCATAAGCATTAAACCCAAGTCACGTTTAGTGGTGGACATTTATCAGCACATCATGCACAGTGCAGCGGTATACACGGTAGCATAAAATAGCCTTCTGCCCAGACATGCCAAACACGTTGGATGTGTAGCTTCCTATTGAGTTGAGGCAGGGGAAGGGACTTCAGTCCCCAATTGGGGCCGCACTCCCCCTTCCCCTCAAGCTCACCGAAGAAACTGGATGAGATCAGGAGAAAAGCTTGATTATTGGCTACTTTTGGGGTAGGCTTTAACACTTTCCACATTTCGTCAAGGGCGCAGGAAGCGGGGGACAGTGGGGGGCCGCTGCCACCCACCAGTTTGAGAACGGCGGAGGGAGGGGGGGGGGGGGTATGCGCTCCCCAAAATTTAAGGGCTTGCAAAGATCCCATTCTGGAATGTTAAGTGCCCATTCTGGCACATTAGGACCATAACCATAAATAAGTTTTTGACATGAACCATAAAGGAGTTTTGCAAGCCTGTAAGAGTCCATTTTGACCAGATCGAAGGCTAAACGAGCGGCATGGAACGCTTCAGAGAACACCAGGCGGCGAGCGCGGGGCGCTTCAGAGAACACCAGGCGGCGAGCGGCGGGCGAGCGAGAACAGCTGTCGTGAGCTAATGCTTCCGAAAGTCTTTCGAGACCATTTCGTATCGTTCAAAGGCTAGCATTGGGCGAATATTTCACCTGTAAAAAATGGGGCCGTCCTCTGAGCAGACTAACAGTTAAAGCAGCACAGAAATAGAGATTCTATCTTTGCTCTTCATTTCCACCGTCGTTATACTCCAACACCTATTTACGATGCTGTAAATACTAACCCGTTTCTATCATCAATCTAAAAATCGCACACGTGAATTAACGCACCATTGGATTACTACAAAAGATGGATTGTTACGGTCACTGAAATTGAATTCGAAATATACGTTTAGATAAGACGAGCTGTCGAAGCGCTACTTATGCATGCATATCCTACATGTGTGTGTGTCATTGGGGCTTTACGACGCACTCAGCTGCTGAGGCTATATGGCGTCGCCTGCCTCTCACCCTGGCAGGAACGGCTGGCATCGCGGGGAATCGAACCCCGTACCTCTGGTTTCCCAGACGCGCAGCGGTTAACGCAGACGCGTTAACCACTACACTACCGGCACCCCCGCATATCCTACATGTAACGAAACTTACATTAATAAGTGCATTTGTGAGCAGCGCTAGGCATGTAAATAGGACGGTACTAATAGACTCGTTCATCGCAGAGTAATCAGGAGCATCCATTCTATCCCACTCTTCCCGACTAAGGCGATAATGCGTCTATCTCTCCACTCTCCTGATTATTATACGAGGAATGAGGCTATTACTACTGTCTCATTTTTAACAAACCTCTTTCATTATATTACCGAAGTCGATGCCCCTTATCAGTAATTGGTGTTTGCCGGTTCCAGCGGATTCATCACGGCAGTCTTTCCCAATGGCATATGCCGTCAGCAATCGCCACACGGAGGCGCCCCCGGTGTCGTTCGGGCATGCACAAGCAGCGTAAGCCATCTTGGCAGCCGCTCTAAGTCGCGCTTTCTCAGCGACGGTGGAAAGGACCCGACCGGCCAAGGATCATGCATTGCCAGGTTAAAGGTCAGACAGGATGGGTCTTACCGCTGACGTCAGAGAATAGCTTCGCCCCGCCACGGTAGCCTCTAACACAGGCGATTTCCCTGAGTGGTTTCGAAGGCCATGCGTGAAGGCGAGGTGCGCTTTATTTTCATATAATTTAACGAATTTAAAATTAGCCCTCGACCTGGTTCACCATTTTTGTAACGCGGACTGATAGGGGAGAGGGGGGAGTTGATGCAACCCTCTGGTGTTGCCAAATCAAGTTATGTCGAACTTAGCGGAAACACCATTGCGTTTTTCAACGTATGTTAAGCCTTTGGTGCCTGGTTCTACCTTTAGGTACATGAATTGACCCATTATACTAGATCAAAGTCCGAATTTTCTGAAAATCTAACTTCTCAGATTTGTATGCTCATATGTACGAGGCCATGCCTCTTAGCGACGCTAAACTGAAACCCAAGTGTTCCTTGCTCGATGTGTTGTGACGACATATTTCAGATGTTTAGCGCCGTCGACGTAACAAGTCGGCCCGCCCCTCGCGCTCAGCCGGCGTCGTCGGTTGCCGCCTGCCTCCCGCGCGGGTCGCAGATCGCCGTGCAGTGTTCCTAAAAATCGCCGCTGCTCCGGAGCCAGACACGCAGGGACACATTTCCCATCCCAAAACGCACACGATGGATGCTCATAGACTACCGAAAACTTAGGAGCGATCGCATGACACGCTGAAGAGGTATCCTCAAAAAAAAACCTTTGGGGAGGTTGCACCGACCTTCTCCTTTCAGTTCTACCGTAGAATCGAAGCTCCGGTGGACTCTGCATAATTGTCTTAAAAACGTGGTTTCCTGTAAAATGTGGGACTCAAAATTACCGGCGAAAAAGTGCGGTCTGGAGCGGTTTCCGGCTGCGGTGATTTTTTTAGCTCCCACAATTGATTAGATGTCGCTATATTAGCTTAGATGGATGTGATGTTGATGAGAATGAGCTCTAAATCTGTGTTATTTTTTGTCATCGTGCTGTAAGATAGGTTCGAACTCTTCACTGCAATAACTTTTCTCGCTCTTTCGCAAGTATTTTCCGTGAGCATGAACCTCGCGCTGCGTGCGGTGGTTACAATATTACCTTTGAAACTATAATTGAGGGGTCGGTGTTAAGCGGCAGCTGCGAAGAAAAGCACATTACATGACGTTTATGACAAGGGACACAGCTAGGATATCTTAGTGGGCCCCGGTCGCTGCCTCCTTCAAGAGAAAGTTTTAAACCCAAGCCAAGTACGGGTGGTGTACACAAGTTATCAAGTGAGAATGGCGTGTTATGTTGCGGGCGGGCGTCTCGTGCTTGGCTATGCTGGCTACGCCTGAAATTGTCACGGATTGGGTACAGTTCCGCTCCCAAGATATTGGTATGAGGCACACTCTGGCTTGTAGCGGATACAGTATACAATCTTAGACTCCATATGTTGACATTTTGAAGTTGGACTCTCAACTGGAACGTAGTTCCCGCACCCTAGCATTTTCCCAACTTATTTTGCGAAGTTTTGCCGCTGAAACACGATAAAAGAATGCAGAACTGAAGTCATGCTGGCAAGCTGATGAAACTTTGGTCAGCAAAATACATATGATTGCTTTTGAACGACTTATACATAATTGTGGTTGTAAACCTGTGACACGTAATTTGGTAAGTCAAAGTCAATAACAACTGCGTCATCTTTAATGTAATTTATCAAACCGAAAATCTGCTGTGCAGCGTTGCCAACGCGCAGTCGAATATTTCAGTCGAGCTCTCAGCTGTTTCATCAGAGCAGCAAATGAAGACCCACCCGAAAACTGTCACTGCGTCCCTTAAGGATGACGGTGTAGGGACGCTGTCTAGGGGCAGCTGGGTGCTACGTCATAATCAGCTGTCCACTGTAGTGTGAACATATTCAGCTGGTCGCCACGTTGCGTACCTTGTCTAGGGCGTTGTTGCTGGTAACATGTTCAGGACATTTTGCTTAAAGCTTTTTGACATGACAGCTTTCACTGAAACTACGGAGCCTGATAATTATCTTTCACTGGTAAATATCCTTGCAAATCAACAGAATACATATTTCTGGACGAAGATGCTCATATTCCCGTGTATTACACCGGCGGCATACCGCGCTGAGATGGCTGCGCGTGATGCGTCAGTTCCATCGTCTGAGCGAGCGTGCTTGAGCGGCGCGTTGCTCGGTGATTGGCTTGATTGATCGTCGAGGATTCCCGGTGATTGGCGGGATTGGTCGGTGAGGATTCCCGGTAATTGGCAGGATTGGTCGGCGACGATTCCAGTTGATTGGCAGGATTGGTTGGAGAGGATTCCCGTTGATTGGCAGGATTGGTTGGAGAGGATTCCCGTTGATTGGCAGGATTGGTCGACGCGATTTGCAGCGCCGGAGGACTGCACCGCGCACACTGCAACGCTGGTTCTCGGCTTTCACCACAGATGGCTCTGCCAGCTGTCTGGGACTACCTGCAACCGGTCAGCACAGCTGTCGGTCTTGTTACCGCTGTTGGTAAGCTGTGATTCGCTCCAGCTCTCACTTACGTGCCTCGGTCTCTTGCTACCTCATCTCTCTCTGTCTGTGTACTGGTCTGCGCAAATGTCTGCATCCTCTTTCGGTTCTCCCTTTCTTTCTTCCGCTGTGGCCCTTTTGTGTCTCATTATCCCAGACCCCTTTCATCTCTTCTCATGTTCTGCCCCAATCATCCAACCACATATTTTTCCATGCAAATTGAGCCCTTGCTGGCCAGTGGCGACCCTAGAAAGCATTAAAAAGCCCCACCAGTGGAAGAGAATGATATGCGGCTCCACCAGTGGAAGTAAAGTGTATGGTCCAATTTATTAGTATTATATCCGAGGTTCCCTTTGGGCACTGAACTTAACTTAGCTTGCGTGCACGTCATTTCGAGACAAGCTGCCTGGAATTCCCGCGCCAGTCAAGGTCATTTCCCCTCCCGAGTGCATCGCTAGCGGTACTTCGGTACGTCATCCGGTACATCGACCGCCCATTCCCACGCTCAGGGCCAGGGAGAACGCACGACGAGCCTAAGCCGCGCTCGCGTCGTAGGTCATGTGCCCGCTGTTTTCAGTGCTGCTGGGGGTCGGGGTGGACATGGCGTACCACGCCCACTGGACTGCCGTCGTAACGCTGTGAGTGAAACATCGCGTGGCCCAAGCGGTGCAGCGCTCGTGCAGCATGCACACCTCAGTGCCGGTTGCGCGTGTGGGTGAAGGAAGCCCTTCACGACTGTGTACCCATCGCTGCTACATGTGTTCCATTGGCATTTCTGGTTTGAAGGCTGTGGGGAGTTAGTCTTTGCAGATTGTGTGTCTGAGTGGAAAAGAGAGGGGTGATCATTTTACTCCGGGAACAGGGTTATTTTACTCCGGGAACAGGGTTATTTTACTCCTGGAACAGGGTTATCGAGTCGTATTGCGACTCGCCAATGGCATGCCTCACGTGTTGTGGGAAGGAATGGCTTACTGTTGGACCACTGCCATTGGGAATGATGCTCACGAGTCGCCAACCAGCATTACACTAGGGGGAGGGGGAGGGGGAGGGGGCAGTTGGTTAAATTTCACGGAAGGATCGTCGGGCAGTTTAAGCTCACAGCCATGGGATGTTCGTCCTCGTCCTCGGGCGGTAACGGGCGTTCGTCCTCGTCCTCGGGCGTCCTCGTCCTCGTCCTCGGAGCCTGCCGAGAGTGGCTGGATGCGGGCCAGCGTCTGCAGTTTGCTGTTAAGGTTCTTCGGTAAGCCACGGCTCCAGGTGCACTTCTCGCTCGGGTGTCACCGCACTAGCGAACTAGCTTTTACTAAAAAACACTTAACGTTCCTTAATAGTAAAAAGGTAAAAAGTGCGTAATTCGAGCCGTCAAGATGTGAGTGTGCGCGTGCATGCGTCGGTGCATTCGTGCGTGCGTGCGTGCGCCCGTACATAAGCGCGTACGTATATGTGTGTCTCGCGCTGTCCGTAACGTCCGAATCTGTGACGACTTTCAGAGGCTCTTTCTTGGTGGTTCTGGTCCTGGAAGGCATGTCCGTGCCCGAGGCCTGCTTCCAACTTCACCTCAGGTAATAAGTGGTGTGGGTTAGAGCAGCTGTTACCCGCACCACAAGACCAATTTGGAATCACTAGCGCCTTGCAACATTCGTTTTACAGGCTCATTTTTATTGGCTTTATTCGTATGACGGGAGCAACCGAACGTCTTGTGAATGTGTCTAGACAACACACACACACACACACACACACACACACACACACACACACACACACACACACACACACACACACACACACACACACACACACACACACACACACACACACACACACACACACACACACACACACACACACACACACATACACACACACACACACACACACACACACACACACACACACACACACACACACACACACACACACACACACACACACACACACACACACACACACACACACACACACACGCACGCACGCACGCACGTGCAGAAATGGTGGCCGAAATGCTCACGTAGACACCGTGCTGCACAAAGCAAGTCCGATCATGGTGAGTAAACTCAGACACAGAACAGCTCGGAAGCTCTGCTCAGAAGGCTGGAACGCACAAAATACATGCTTCTTTCGCCATGTGTGCTTCGAATCATTGCATTGAGCGGTGACCTGAGCTTACAGATGGCCAGAAGCGGTGTTGACAACTTCCACGGTCGGAATAGAGAACTAGACGCGCGCATAGAGCTGACCTGGCTCTTCACAGTCGTGTCTATTCTCTCTTTCTGTAATTAGTTTATGCGCCAGCTCAGGAAAATGAGACTTTGAACGTACGCACCCCACGCTTCGGGAAATGGCAGAGAACTGATCAAAATGGCGTATCGTGGCTGGTTGACTTCCGGAAGCATCTTTAGTTTCAAATGGCTGCAAAATATATCCTGGTTTTATTTCTGTGACGCATGCAATATGCGGCGGGAATCTAAGCTTTGAACAGGCAGTTTTAACCTTGAAGCGTTGTCAAGTTTTACGTTTCAATGTTGAGGCCCACTTGGGCACAAAATTACTCTAGATCATAATAATATTACTATTATTAATAATTACCACTAATATTACTAATGACTTATGATAAGATATATAACTAACAATAATAATATATTAATAACAACATTAATATTATAAAAAAATACTCCAAATAATAACAAAAATACTATAAGTTATCTGCGTCGCTTCCGTCGAGCCCAGTGCATGTTTTTCTGATTCCTTTGAGCTGAATGGCCCTCAAACACTGCTACCGCTCAGAAACCGCTCACAGCAAACCACTGCCTTAAGGACACGTTTGACCAACTACATGCAAATAATGTTACTTCAAACATGAAAATAAGTAAATATTTACAGCAAAGTTTGGCATGCAGCCAGATATCCGACATCCTCGAAAAGCATATTTGGCGTTGACAATCTGTAGACGACTTGATTCCGAAAGCTCTTTGTACACGAGCTTATTTTGGCGCTTATAATAAAATCAGTGGTACGCAGTTGATCATGCACATACATATCAAAATGTCTACAGTCCTACCAGATGTCCTGCACATACCAAAAACACAGACAAAAACCGTATTTGCGATGGAGCCATTGGAAAACTTCGCTGACTCTCACATCAACCTTCCTTGCCTCATTGTTGAATAGGGGCTGGGAAGATGAGCACCTGCATGGCTGGCCGAGGACGGGGGTCACCCGCATGCCCCGGCTCCGACCGCGACTGTCGGGGCGGTATCCTACGTAGACTGTGCCGCAATACCGCAGTGTTGGGCGGATTAGTCTGCCAGGCAAGCCCGGCATTGATCAGTAGACGGGACGTTTTCTTTCTAAGGTAATGAGGCTCCTCTCTGCGAAGCATGGCCCGCACTTCAGTGGAGAGAGACGAAGGGGGCCAGTGCTGCAATTTGGATCAACTGTAACACTACGCCAAAGACGCTGCGTGAAACAAAACACTTTCTAAAGCCTGGATATCCTCAACTTTTGATGCCTAGCAAGGCCCCTGTCCCAAAACTTTTAGAGTTCAAGGCAGCGCTGCACATTCGTATGTGGTTTAAATTGAAACAAGCATTTTGTAGACCATTCGGTGCGGTTCACAGCCCTGCCCTTCTTAAGGCCTAAACACTTCTAGTTTCTGAACTAAATGCCCGCGAATATGCGTAGACTGTTTCGAGGAGACCATTGCAAGGTCACCCGGGCTCCATGGCGTCATAGTAATATCACGTCATTCAAATTCTGTTATTCCATTAGGCACGCTGCGATCGAGGTCAGGACAAAAGTAAGTGTTGAGTCGCTCATATCAAACATTTGTGAGGACGACTTCCAGACATAACGGCGGTCAATTGGTTCTCATCTCAATCAATGTTGTTCATGGTACGATGACGTGATCAAACAATGACGCATTGGGAATCCATATTTACTTAACAGAAAAACGGTGTTGTCTAGAACCGTCTTTTCCACTTTAAAGCATGCCACTAGAAAAAAATAAAGATTATTTCATTATATCTCAAATTTGCTTCAATGTTCTCAAATGTGGAACACCACCTTTAAAGAGATTGAGCTTCGCTTCAAAAAAGGTACACAGTAACACCGTCATTAGCGCAAAGGCTCGATATTTGATTCTGCTTGTTTCAATGTAATTATGCGAAACGGATACCGCGCTTCGAACAAGTAAACCCTGCCTGTGAGTGCCGGTCGTCCTGAGCGCTTGGCGGAGAGAGAGGGTGAAACTACATCAATCGAATATAACACACCATGTGATAGCACACCTGGTTGATATCATGTGATACAATCGGTCCCGGAGACTGGGTTTGGTGGCGATGTCCTCAAAGGTTTGCTTGAGTTTAAGGCTGGTTGATGCTGACCGAATGGATTACCCCGCCGTGCGTGGATAATATACTGCGGGCGTCTTATTGACCTTGGTGTAACCTTCATAAGATGGTGCGGGCGTCTTATTGACTTTGGTGTGACCTTGATAAGATAGTGCGGGCGTCTTATTGACCTTGGTGTGACCTTGATAAGATAGTGCGGGCGTCTTATTGACTTTGGTGTGACCTTGATAAGATAGTGCGGGCGTCTTATTGACCTTGGTGTAACCTTCATAAGATGGTGCGGGCGTCTTATTGACTTTGGTATGACCTTGATAAGATAGTGCGGGCGTCTTATTGACCTTGGTGTGACCTTGATAAGATAGTGCGGGCGTCTTATTGACACTGGTGTGACCTTGATAAGATAGTGCGCGCGTCTTATTGACCTTGGTGTTTAACTTCGGCGAGGCGTCGATTGCCTTCTTTCAATTATCATCAGTCATGTGGCCAATTCATGCCATCAGATAGCTAACACGCCTTCCATTCTGCCAGAGCGACAGCCTCTGAAGGGGAGGGGAAACCCGCCCTCGCTACCTCTGAACCCGAGAGCAGGAAAGCCACACAATTTTCAATGCAACCTGGATGTCGATGTCTTGAATACTGAGTGCGGACGGCTGTGGATCAGGGTAAAATAAGGTCGCTAAAAGAATCCTGCGATGGTTGGATCAAGCAAAGTCCCTAATCGAATCATGCATGGGTCGGATCAAGCGAGCTTACTGGTCAAAAATATCTGGGACATTCACGCGAACAACCGACAAACAACCAGCGAGACAATCTCTAACAGGGAATGGTGTCTTACAGAAAAACAGGCGTGATGTAACTAACAAACATTTGGGTTAATCAATGTCGAGTTGCAACCCTCATTAATGACATCACATGGATAAAATGGGTTGGGTTGATGACTCTGACAAGATTCACTTTGAAAACGAGTGAAATTTTTTGGTAACCCACGCACACGCCTTAAGGCAGAAGCGTTCAATATTTCCCCTTGTCACCGTTTTCTTGCGTTTTCAAGTAATCGGGAAAGCCGGCTTGCGACGGGTAATTGAGCGGCGTGGTGAGTTGCAACGGTCAATTGAGCTAATGGCTCGTTAAATGTTGCATTTAAATTACCAAAGCAAGGCATCTGAAAGCAAAGTAGAGCGTCTAAATCAGGCCGTCGCGATACCTCTACGGTTAGATAGATAGCACGTGCCGTGGTTCGACGGCAGCTGCTGTTCGCTGGAGCTCTCGATGCAGCCGAGCGGAGATCGCGGCGAACGAGCACTCGACTTTGACAGGCTGCAGCTAAACAGACGCAGCGATTTTGTTTTGTTTTATTAACTTGACGTCTCGCTCCCTTGTTAGAAGAACCCGTTTCCAGATATCGCCTGGTGTCGATGCTATTTAAGAAAGCAAGAGAGGAAGAGAGTGGGGCAGATTTCGGCTCTCTCCAGTTCGTGTTTAGTTGCATGTCTTTTGAAACCAAGTATCTATTAAAGGAACGGATAATCTGGTCACAATGACACATTCTCCCGCTAAACGGCGTACGCGCAATCGCCATGCTCGGAGGTTTAGTTTTCATTAGAAGTTCTTGGTCCCCAAATTTAATTAGCCCGCCTTACTCCTTAACGCAAATAGCAAAACAAAAACAAACAAAAACGACATCCAGTACAAGTATATACCTTCTGGCGAGATCCAGTTATTAGCCTTGTCGCATACTTTTGAGTGTGCTCTAACGAGCTGTGCGTCATCAGGTCGAGCCCGGCTGCCCCTCAGTGGCCGGCGGTGCAGAGTCTGGGCCCGATCCGGCGGGCTCTGGTGCACGCCCTGCTGGCACTGCTCGTCCTGCTCACGCCACACCACCGCATGACGGTCACGGCGGCGGCAGGTATGACGTCACAGTGGGGTAGGTATGACGTCACGCGGGCGACAGGTATGACGTCACGGCGGCGTTGTGTTTCACCTCAGCGGCGGTGTGTCATGTGATCATGTGATGATGTGATCATGTGACCGCCCGCGCCGCAGCAGTGGACGAGATGTGACACCAAGCTCCGCTTTACCGGTGGACGAGACAGCGGATCTTCTGGCGTAACGTCATTTGAAGTGACGTCATCGGGTCTATCTGTGCGACTTCACATTAAGTGACGTTATCGGGCCTTCTGGCGTGACGTCACCACGCCACCGCGCTAAACACCACTACAGGGTGACGTCACATCGCTCCCGATCCCGCCACACCACTAGTGGATATGACGTCACTCCATCCACGCTTTTTCATGCTCAATGCGTGCAAAAACATGACGTCACAGCATGGCTGTGACGCCAGGCGTTAGCGAGCAAAGCATTCTGTTATTATGGGAGACGTGGCGCCAAATGTATCGCATAAAGGCGGTCAGATGAACGCTTGAGCCTTGCTTATTTATTTGTGCCACTGGGCACGTGACTACAGCCGCGTTGTGCTTCTGATTGACTGCGTAAACGGATGAGTACTGAAACAAGATTGGAACTTCGCAAGGAGCATCGGCGTACCGCAGGATTTCTCCTTGCAGCACTCGCTAAAACTTTCAGCGTCGTGGTTTGTTTGTTGTTGGGGCGGGTGGAGCTCAAAACTTGAGAGAGCCTGGCGCTCTCCAAGAGATACGAAGTCAACCCACGAGTGTGGGCCCGTCAAATATCTCGTGTAACTTGACGGAGGACTTGAGTGCCGTCGTCGCGTTCTAACGGCACGCACTGCGGGCACTGAGACCGTTTGTGCGCTGTGAACAGCAGCAGCTGCTGTTCGCGGACCACTGACGTGTCACGCGTCCACAGGCGTGCTGCTGTTTGTCTGCTGCGGGCTGCAGCTGCTGCTGGCGTACGTGCGCTGGAAACAGAGGAGGGAGCAGAGCCGAGTTCACCTGCTGGGGGCGGCTGACTTCGGTTCACAGTAGGTCATCTCGCGGCAGGCAGTCATTTTGGTTGCCAATTTCTTTCCGCCAACCACAAGGGCAGCGCTTGGTTGTCAAGTTAAGCGTTGGGGCGGTAATTATCGCGCCCACACAGCAACTCCAAATAAAAGACACGTTTATGACAAACAATGCCCAAATGGGCGTTCTCAAATCTTGTCCCGCCCTTGACGACACTGCGAGTCATTTGCCGATCTCTGCGTCGTCGTATTGCGAGACGGTGACTCAGTTTGACGAGACGGCTCAGTTTGCGCTCGCCGTGGACACTCAGTGCACCCTTGGCGGAGTGTAGCGGAGATGGACAAACCCGGCCGCATGGGTAAAGTTGCGTCGCTGAATTTACGCTACAAATCAGGGTGGGGGAGGCAGTCCATGGGAGTAACCGCTACTACGGCCGATCGTTCATGGAGTCCGCCGGCGAGCGCGTCACTGACGCGCTCCGCGCCATTAACGTCGCTCCGCGCCACTGACACCGCTCCGCGTCGCTGACACCGCTCCGCGCCTCTGACACCATCCCGCGCCAATGACACCGCTGTGCGCCACTGATACCGCTTCGCGCCGCTAACACCGTTCCGCGCCACTGATACCGCTCCGCGCCACTGACGCCGCCTTGCGCCACTGACGCGCTCCCGACAATGACGCTGTTGTGCGCCACTAACGCCGCCCCTCGCCACCGACGCCACTGACGCCGCTTCGCGCCGCTGATGCAACTCCGCGCCACTAACGCCGCTCCGCGTCACCAACACCGTTCCGCGCCACTGACGCCGCTCCGCGTCACCAACGCCGCTCCGCGCCACTGACGCCGCTCCGCGTCGCCAACGCCGCTCCGCGCCACTGACGTCGCTCCGCGTCGCTAACGAACGTCGCTCCGCGCCACTAACGCCGCCCCGCGCCACTGACGCCCCGCTGCTTCGCCGCAGGGAGGACGAGTCGCCGGACCGCGACTCGCCGGCCAGCAGCATAGTGCTCCAGCGCGAGCCGGAGCAGATCTAGACGCGTCGACGGCGACTCTCAGCACGCGTAGGTCACAGTAATGTGCGCTGCGGGGTCAGCCGGCGACGCCCCGCGGCGCGGCGAGCAGGCGCGATGACCATGCTTCGGAGAACGTCAGAGGCGCGAGCGCTGCAGCGTTGTTAAGGTGTATGAGGAGGAAGCGCGACGTGTCCTTCAGCTCTATTTTTGGTGCGGGTGGCGGGCGCTGGATAACGCTGGGTGGATGCGTAAGAGCAGCTGAGTCTGCAGCGAGCGGGACAGCTGGCGTCCTGCTGTCTCCGGACGTGTGCTTTGAGGCATGTTGCGAACATCACGGCTCAGCTTTATCCTGTCTGGACGTCGTTCATGCCGCGTTTAGCACGAGCGCGCCGCGACATCGGAAAGTTAATGAAACGAAGGCAGGAACGGGTTTCAGACCAATGCGAGGGTACGAGATACAATACCGTGCAGCCTCGCGAAAAGCCGAGCGAATCGAACGGCCACAACGCCCAGCGGATGTACAACCATGTTGGTGTAGCCTATCTACGGTACGCGCAAATACAGAGACAAACAACCAGAAACATCGACACAATAAGATGCTTGTATTCTACCCTAACCTTGTTCGTTCCAATAGAAAAAGCACCCGAAGCGTCGCACAATTGCGGCAAGACACACACTGTTCACATCTATGGGCGCGTCTTGAACGCGACGGATCCACCACCACTGACGCAGCCGAGCGTGGCGCCTTTTGGCCAATGGCCTGTGCGCAGTCTGACCCGGGGCTGACTAGAACATTTCAGGATGACACGGCTTCGCACCAGCTGGTGTCCGTGACGTCAGCAACGGTGATCGGAGACCCGCGGAGCCCAGGAGACAGGGGTCCGCGGAGAGCTTCGGGCGCGACTCCTGGTCCTCGGCAGAACTCCTGGTCCTGGTCCCCGGGGGAACCCGGCCAAAGCCGCAGTCGAACGCCGCAAGCGTCACATCCCAATGCGTCACGCTCGAAACAAGGCTGCGAAATCACGCGCTCTGAACACGAATCTCGCACATCGTGAAAGGTCCCAAGCCCATGTCACTCACAGCATCACAGAACGTCCCAAACCCATGCCACTCACAGCATCACAGAACGTCCCAAACCCATGCCACTCACATCACCACAGAGCGTCCCACCCCTACCACACCCACGCACATAACCGCCCAGGTCGAACACACCCGTTGTGTAACAATAGCTAGATACAGACCACTGAGGCACGTCTCAGAAGCACTTCTGTCGGACGGAAAACTCTCCACGGCAAGGAGCCTACATTGGATCCCGCGCGCGAGGCTTTGAGGTAGTCATATGCCCCGTCCGCCGGGATCGCGGCAGCGTGAGACCACGCGGGGAATGACAGCGGTGCACGACGGGAGGGGATCGCTGGTGGAGTGCCGCGTCTGCAGACTGAGCACAGCTGTAGACTGATCACACCTGCAGACTGATCACGGCTGCGGACTGACCACGGCTGCAGACTGGCCACGGCTGCAAACTGATCACGGCTGCAGACTGATCACGGCTGCAGACTGGCCACGGCTGCAAGCTGATCACGGCTGCAGACTGATCACGGCTGCAGACTGGCCACGGCTGCAAACTGATCACGGCTGCAGACTGATCACGGCAGCAGACTGATCACGGCTGCAGACTGATCACGGCTGCAGACTGATCAGAGCTTGAGCCGCTCGGCCGAGCCGAAGACGGCGAACACCAGAGCCCCGGCCAGTGCCAGGCCGCCCACCATGTGGAACACCGCCTCGAAGTCGCCGTGCAGCTCCAGCAGGTAGCCGGCCGCCAGGTTGGAGAGAAAGCCTGCGGCGGACGCGCCGGGTCACGGCCGGTGGTGTCCGGGCCGCCGGCGCCGGGTCACGACCGGTGGTGTCCGGGCCGCCGGCGGGTGCCGGGTCACGACCGGTGGTGTCCGGGCCGCCGGCGGGTGCCGGGTCACGACCGGTGGTGCCCGGGCCGCCGGCGCCGGGTTACGACCGGGCCGCTGCCGGCGCCGGCTCACACTAACGCCGCGTGAAGCCACCACAGTGTAACGGCGCGGGGGCGCAGCGCGACATCAAACGGCCAGCACAGCCTCCCGGCGGTGATGGTGATGATAGTGGGTGAAGGTGATGACGTTAGTGCTAATGCGGCGACTACGTGGTCATTTTGCGTCCGCTAGAGACCGCATAGTCTCAGGTCGATGGGATAATTATGTTGGTTAACAGGGTCTTATGCACACAGTAGCTTCCAAAGGGCACGACAACCCCCCCCCCCCTTCTCTACAGAAATTATGACGCACATTAATATATACGAAAGACAACGTTGACATACATGGAAAACATGATTCTTTTTCTAATCAGGGCGTCACGGGTCGTCACGGGTTCAAATAAGAAGATCGCGAACATGCGACACTACTTAAGAACACACCAGAAACTTCAGCAGCCTGCGGCGCGCTACACTCGGGTTTCGGTGAAAACCCTTCAGTTGTACCTCCTCCCCCCCCCGCCCCTCGCATTCCCCACCGTGCCGTCCGGCATACGCCCTCGTCGGTGAGGAACTAGCCACTACCTGCCAGGGCTCCACCGGTGTTCATGAGGCCGAACAGGGCGCCCACGTGCTGCGGACAGAGGTCCTGCGGCAGCGCCAGGCCTCCGTTGGCGTGCAGCGACACGGCGCCGGCCGACAGCGACGTCAACAGCACAGCGGCGGCGCTGGAGCTGACGCGCGCTGGCGGCGGCGGCCGGGCACAGGTCAGGTCAGACTTAAGGTCACCAGGCCGCGTGACGTCACATGACAGGTCACGTCAGCACCGAGCCGCTACAGTCGAAGCCTGAGTCGGCACGGAACGGGAGGGAGAGGGGGAGGAGGAAGGGGGAGGGGGCGGGGCACAGAGAGCGACGGGTCATGAAGCTGTCAGCGGCTGCTGCCACCAGCCACAAGCCACCCCCGTCAGCGGAAAACAGCGGACGCTGAAGAGCCTCGAACCCAACCACCCGCCACGGTTTCTGTTCTGGAGCTGCTATTTCGGCCAGTCCCGCGGCCCCAACACAGGCAGATCCCTATCCCTAGACCAGTGCTACGGCCCCGACACACGCAGATCCCTATCCCTGGGCCAGTACTACGACCCCAACACAGGCAGATCCCTATCCCTAAGCTAGTGCTACGACCCCGACACACGCAGATCCCTATCGCTGGGCCAGTACTACGACCCCAACACAGGCAGACCCCTGTTCTGGGGACGGGTGCCTGCGCCACGGCGAGCTCCTTCTCCATCGCGCCCCTCGCGGCGGCCGCGGCGCAGCACTCACGCAGCACTCACGCAGCACTCACGCAGCACTCACGCAGCACTCACGCAGCACTCACGCAGCGCTCACGCAGCACTCACGCAGCACTCACGCAGCACTCACGCAGCGCGAGCATCGCGGCGGCGGAAATCAGCTGCGACCCGACCTCGATGAGCTTGCGGGTGGCGGTGACGCTGAACTGGTGTCGCAGCAGCCAGGCGGCCAGCGGCACGGACGTCATCGTGCCGGCGCCGTTCAACACGAACGGCAGCGTGTTCACCAGCCAGCCCTGCACCGGCACGGGGCGTCAGGCGACGCCGGTGGGTGTAATGTGACTCCCAAAAGTGGTGTCAGGTGGCAGCTGGGTAGGTCGTGTGGCACCCGGCCTGGTTAGGTAATGCGCGGGAAGGGAGTCAGGTGACACCGGGATGGGGAGTCAGGTGACACCGGGATGGGGAGTCGGGTGACACCGGAGAGGGGCACGTGATACCGGGAAAGAGTGTTAAGTGACACCCGACCAGTTATTCGGGCCAAGCTAGGGTGTCAGGACACCCAGCCGCGCTCGGAAGGCTGCCAGGCAGGGCGTCAGGTCTCCCTGGGTCAAAGGCAGCCAAACTCGGACAGGCAACGCGCTTCAACAGCCGAGGATTTCGATAAAGCCCACACATGAAATGAGAAAACATTGTGCAGGGCGTCACATCAAATCAAAAGAAATATTAAAACTTTACCCGAGGAGAAAGTGAAGGCTTGTTTGATGGGACCATGAGGCGACAGTATTAGTAGCCTTATTCCTTGCCGAATAAACCGGAGAATGGAGAGATAAATGTCATATTTTGGCTACATGCCTTTACAAAAACGAACATTCGTTTCGATAAAGGCATGTAAGCGAAATATCACACATGTCTCTCTATTCTCCTGTTAATTCTACGAGGGATAATGTTATTAATGCTGTCTCATCTATATGCAGAATGAACCTCGCAAATGCACTCCACAACTTAAGATTGCGAGGCACTGGACCTCCTCGACAAAATGCCACGACGAGCTGAGCATGCATGACAACAGGGTGACAGTGAACACACAACGGACGGCGAAAACAGGCTACAGTTCATCGATGCATGCGACCATCAAGTTCATCTGCAATCTCCGCGCGTCACAGCATTTTTTTCGCGGCTGAATCAGATATGACCTGACCTGACCTGACCTAAAACGAACCAGAAGGCAACACGGCAGCAGCAGCACCCACACATCCACAAACGAGGGAACAACTTCCATTACCTCTGCAAGCACATGCACGCTACCCCAATTACCCTGGTCAGAGGCGCACGCAACCACTGCAGATTGCGCGCCCAACTACTCCTGCCACCGCGGCCCCCGATCGCCTCGGAGACAGCGCGTGCACACTACCCCGACTACCCACGCCACCGGTGGACGCAACCACTGATTACCTCCGCCTGCGGGTGGACGCGTTGGAAGTACGACGGCAGCCAGGAGATGAGCAGGAACCAGGCGGTGGTGTGCGACATGTGCGCCAGGATACACGCCCTGACGGCAGCCAGGAGATGAGCAGGGACCAGGCGGTGGTGTGCGACATGTGCGCCAGAATACACGCCCTGGCGGCGGCGGACGGCACTCAGTCGCTGGGCGGCGGGGGCCGCGGCCGTCGGCCCTTCCGGCTGGGGAGGGCACGCGCCGCACCCGGCGGAGTGCCGCGCGCGCTACGGGGACAAGCACCGGCCAACGTGCGGGGACGCGGGCGTGTGGTCCGCGCACGTGATGAAACATGGGTGGATTGAGCGCCAGACGACGCGGGAGAGGAGCATGCAGGGGTGACGACAGTATACAGCCACTACGACAACACGCGGCCATCTGTAGCGAAGCGGCCGCCACAGCTACGACAGACTCAACGCAGGCTACACCGAACCAAACCAGGAGCTCCTGACCACCAGTCGTGGTCAACCCCCACCCCACTGCTTTTCACGACGGGAGCGCGGTTGAGTGCAGTGGGACGGACACAGTGGACCACGCGGGGGGGGGGGGGGGGGGGGCAAGGGGAGGTCGGCTCACCAGACCCGCCCGCTGGAGAGCAGGCCACGCCAGGGCACAGCCGCGGACGCGCCGGCGGCCGCTCTGGCCGGGACGCCCTGGCCCCGCGTCAGCACGTACAGCCAGAGCGCCGAACTGGCGTACAGCAGGCCTGGCGGCGACACCCCAGCGACGCCGTTACAGGGAGTACAGGCACGCCCCTGCGATGCCGTTAGACGAAGTACAGGCACACCCCTGTGATGCCGTTTAACGGAGTACAAGCACACCCCTGCGACGCCGTTACAGGCATGCCCCTGTGATGCCGTTACACGAAGTACAGGCACACCCCTGTGATGCCGTTACACGGAGTACAGGCACATCTCCGTGACGCCGTTAAACGGAGTACGGCCATACCCAACTTCAGGCAGACATCGGTGTAATGGGCGCACAAACAAAGAAAGCAGCCGGTGGAGAGCCCTCTCGCTGGTGAGAAGCTCTCTCACCAGTATGCGCCCTGTCGCTGGTGAGAACTCTCTCACCAGTGAGCGTGACGACGGCCCGCCAGCCGAGCCCCTCCAGCAGAACGGAGCCCACCAGACCGACCAGGATGGTGCCGAGCGGCGAGCCCAGCAGGGCCGTGCTGAAGAACAGCGGACGACGCGGCGCCGGCACCAGCTGACTGCTCAGGCTGCCCAGGCTCGGGTAGTGAGGGCCCTGCCGGAGGCGGGGGGTGGTGACGGCGCTGCGGACATAACAGGGGCGGGGACGACCCCACGAACACGAGAGGGGCGAGCACAGCCCCGCGGACGTGACAGGGGAGGGGACGACCCCACGAACACGAGAGGGGCGAGCACAGCCCCGCGGACATGACAGGGGCGGGCACGGCGCTGCGGATGTAACGGGGGTGGTGACGGTACTGCCATCATAACTACAGGAGAAGTAAGGGTTTTGCAGACATCACAGGAGCAGTGGGGACCCTGCAGACACAACAGCAATCAGTAGCGAGGTTTGTGTCGTTTAACGAGTGCCCCGACTACGTGAATACATGGATGTGCAGCAGGGGCAGTGGTGCACCCACAGGGATGAACACGGACAGACAGGGCGCCGCGCACAACACAGCCAGGGTAGTGCGAGAACTGCACACATAACAGGGATACAACAGCCGCTGAGCATACTGGAGAAAATGCATTCGTTTCCAAGGCGAAATAGGCCATTGTGTACCCAAGATTTATTGAGCAATACCAAATAAATTGGCATGCAAACTAGAAAAGGGCACTGGTGTGCAGGCCTGGACGACGTCCCAGACCGACAGTCCTGCGTCCTGCACGAGGTCCTGGATGTGCCCTGACCTGGATGAGACATTAACCTGCATGAGACACTGACCTGGAGAAGACACTGACTTGGATGAGACATTGGCCTGGACAGGACACTAACCTGAATGAGGCACTGACCTGGACAGGTTCTTGACCTGGACAAGACACTGACCTGGACCAGGCCAAGCAGGCAGCGGAGCAGGATGGCAGCCTGTGGCCAGATGGAGACCAGCGGTGGGAAGAGCAGCAGGCTGACAGCACCTACTGTCGACATGGCCACCATGATGCGAGCACCACCCACCCGGTCAGCCATCAGGCCTCCCAGCACCTGGAGGAGCAGCAGCAAGCAGTGTCACAAGGTCATGTAGGGTTTAGAAGGAGCGTGACAGAGCACCACAACTGACGTGTGTATCCCTGCACCTCAAACTCGTGCAAAAACTGCTTTATTTCTGAACATCACTATAGAAATACAACATGACTTTCTTTGAATGGTGATGGGCTCTGTTGTGCCTCAAGTCTTATATGTACTTAAAAGTACTTAAAAGTACTAAAAATTTTCTGATAAAGAAAGGTGGCTGCGAGACATTTTATGGAGGAACTAGGGCAGCTCAAGGGCAAAAACACATTCTATAACATGGCCCCCAAAAGAGCATACATATTCAGGCTCTGCCCAGCTAATAATGCCTCTTGCCAGACACTAAAGATGTTCTAACAGCAAGCAGCATGTCCCAGTCTTAAGACAGGTTGTTAACACAAAAAAGTAAAATCTTACCTGAGTGAGTGCATATCCCCAGAAGAAAAAAGAGAGGACATAACCAACAAGAATGCTGCTCCATTCTAATTCCTTGGCAACCTCCGGAACTACCAGAGGTATTACGGTCCTGGCAGCATAGACTGTACCACAGGCATAAACCATGCATATCTTCAGAGCTAGTTCTGTAGAGGTTCTGTGCAAAAATCACATGTTAGCATTCACAAGATTTAAAATATACACCATAAGTATATTAGGGAAACAATGAGCATACCATGCTTAGGAGCACTGCTAGTGTGGAAGTCAACTGGAACTAGAACTGGAATGTAAAAAATGTGGTAGCATTACTTTTAACATTAAGAAAGAATATAAAGTACTGCCATATACCTTCCACACCACTGTGCATAGTCCAATACACAACAAATAAGCATAGACTCTGATTCTGCTCTCATACGTCTCCACACAGGACGTTCCGTTCTACATTAAATTATGTTACTGCTTGACTTTAAATAGCTGTCTTTTGCTTACTTATGGGTCTGGGACTCTTATGCTGATAGTTATCATGCTTCAATATACTGGAAGCTACTGGTTTAACATGACCATGCAACCATTTGCTATAATAATGCTCAGCACTTCAAGCTGTGCTTGTGATAAGTGAACAATGATAATGGAAAATACATTTAGAGCAAGGACATGTGAGTCTATAAAATGCAATGATTGGAAATCTGTGCACACAATGTCTATAAAAGATGGTAAATCATGACCCATCCAAGCTTACTCATACAGATACCAGATACCAGATACAAGATTACACATCCAGACAGCCCCAGATACAGTCCTATGCATTTGGCTGCACAAAACAAGGGTGGTTAATCTGCAAATTTGTAATGAGGATGACACATGCTGCACCAATTCTAAACTCATAATGCTGAAAAGCCAGTAAATCAATGTCATTCTTGCTTTTATCAAGTCTTGTTAGGTAACTTTCATTTCGCACCAATGTATTGCAATGATGGTAAAAGACAAAACTGTCCATAGACTTGTTTTGCAAAACAAACCAATGGTCCTTGCATCCTAGGTCAATGAAGTAGTAGGCCCGGGCAGATCAGGGCAGTCCTGTACACCAAATCCTGCCCTTTTACTTGCATGTGACTCACAACTATGGGTTAAGTGAGCACATTTACTATTTTCACATGTTTCGCTTGCATGGAACAATGGGAAATGAGCATGCGCCTAAGCTGAAGGTGAGAAAAACTAAGCTGTGGGGACGCTAAAACATACGCTTGAAAACATAATTACCCTTTACGTTGAGATCCCGACTCATATGCATTCTCTTCAGTCACTGGAAGCAAAGGCTCATCTACCATCGTGATTTAAATGTGGACAAGCCACATATACAGCCCAGAAAATCCGGATTCTTCTAGGCTAAAACGACCTGTTATCTGTCTTGATCAAACACACGTATTCCCGTCACTCTTCAGTTACAATTCCAATATCTGCGAATGGTACGTTGCGTTGGATAGCCTTGGAATGGTATGTTTACCGTCAGTCCTGTCTTTTGTGCGCCGTATTTGAAATGAAGCAACACAGCACACAGCTGAGTACTAAAATGGAAAGAGGCTAAACGACCGGTAAGAACTATTAGCAATCCAATGCGTGAAGCCTGTAAGGCTGATTGAAACTAAACCTGCACTGCTCGGTGTCACTTGGTCAATAATTTGTTCTCCTCGGAAAAAAGTGAGCTTGGACCAGGCTAAAGGTCACCAAAACGCCCGAAACCGTCAGATATCAGCTTACAGCCAACCCGTGCTCTCAGCTTATGGAACTAACCAGCAAGGAGCCTCCACTAATCCATGCGCCATGGTAGCTAGCTAATGTTGTCTATAATATGGTGCCCTTGGGTTCGGTCAAATGCCACCAAAAAACGCCCAAAACAAAACAAAAAACAAATTTGCCGACAGCATCATGATCCAATCACGGGAAGGTGCAGAGGGTGGGGAGCACGGGCTATACCCTCCCCCCTCCTTAGGGCCCAGAAAGTACCTATAGGCTCCGCATAGGTCCGTAGTCGGCCAAACAAACGAAGTTTTTTGGACAAAACGCAACAAAATTGGACGTCTTTTCGGTTCCAGGCGACCAAGAACCGTCACTAGCAAAAGCGAAGGGCCCACGAGTAGACACAAATTATTCTTCACTAATTGAGAGGGCGGCAATTGAGAGGTTTTAGAGCTCATTACGCTGTCCAGACCCCCTACGCTGTTTCCAGGGTGTGTAAGCAGCCTTACAAGCTGCATCTAAATTTTTAATACGAAACGACCCACTACTTAATTGTCTACAGATAAACAAAATTTGATGCAGCTACACCGTGCCGTTTGGAAATCATTCAGGAAAAACCTTTGAGGAGGGGGCAAATTGACCCCCACCCGAGCGCGTGTTAAGCTACCAGGGTATTCTCGTTGCTTTGTTGCTTTGGGGTCCTTCACGTTGGTCTCGGTTAACCTACCGGCGTACCCATGGTAAGCTCATGGGCCCTGTGTATTGGTATAGGGCCCTTCTAATTATCTGGCACTTGCTTAGGGCCCTACCCCCTTGTCCAGAGACCATCTTTCAACCAGATTGAGCACACTCGGCCTTTTGGAGCCCTCCGCATTGGGTCTTGGGTACTTGCTATTTAGATGGAGGGCCCTATGCACTTCCTGGGGGCTCCATCTGGTAACCTGCTCGGGCACACCCGATCTTTCGGAGGCCCTGCGCGGGTCCCTGTTTTGTTATTTGAATGTAGGTCCCTGTGCTTCTGTTGGGGGTCATCTGATAGGCATGCTCGGGTACACTCGATCTTTCGGGAGCCCTCCATCCTGGGCTTAGGGTACTTCCCATCATATGCCAATGGAGGTCCTTACGCTTTTATCCGGGACCCTGTCTGTTAACCTGCTCTGGCGCACTCATTCGTTCGGGGGCCCTCTACATCGTGACGTGGGTATTTCTTATTTGAATGAAGGGCCCCATACTCTTGTCGGGGCCCCATCTGGTCACCTACTCGGGCGTACCCGATCGTTCTTTGGTTTGGAGGGGAGGGGGGACATGCCCCTAGGCCCATGTGCAAACGCCCCTTCCGGGTCAGTTTTGGTAAACCCGTCCCCAAATAAGTGCAGTTGTGGATAATGCTAATGTACTAAGCCTGCCCGTGTAAATTCAAATTTGGGTTGCTTTGGAATGTGCATTTTATGTCTTGTTCAAATATCTCTGCCAGTCCCATGCCCATTAACTTTTCACTCACCGTTTCCGTTCATTTATGTTTAGTCTCAAATCACTTGTACAGAACAGTTGCTAATCGACTGCATTTGCATTTAGCTGATTGCATTTTTACCTGATTACATAGATTACAGGTCATCTTTCGGCAATAACGAGCAACTATTTTTAAATTCTTATATTACGTGGCGCAAAACGAGATTTGTTAATGAAACTTGCACAGCTTGCTTAACATTGATTGAGAGCCAATTATTGTTCACTGTGTTAGCAAATGATGCTCACGAAAGCAAGATCTGAACGGCCCAACGATAACTTTTTCTTCTTTTTTTTTGGTTTTGATCGCCGCTTGTTTTATGGTTTGGCAGAATTTCAATAGCATTGCTGTGACATCATTCATGCCTGAATGACACAAAAATGGTCTGCACGAAAACGTTTGTACAGCGTCGTGGGCGCACAGCTCAGAAGATAGAGGGGCTTTCAGTCTTCGGAAGAGCAGGGTTTGAACTGCGCCGAGTGATCTTCAAATGACTATCGACTCCTAATGACTATTTGATTGACTCCTAATGACTCTTATTGACTTCTAATGACTATTTCAACTCAAACCCCCCTACAAATCTGGAACACCCCGTTTAACATTGTCAGGGCGGTTAACTACACCGAACTAGCTTCAAAATGACTATTTCAGCTCAAAAGCCACGCAGATGTGAAACACTCCCTTTTATTCCCGTACATATCAATGCATGCCAAAAATTTGGGACGGAGGAGCCATGTGTTCCGGAGGCTACTGTTTGTGCACGACGCTCACACTGTTACGCCCTGCTTCCACTGGCCCACACTGGACGCTGGGCCCTTCCACTGCGCTAGCCGACTGGTAGAAACTTTGTGAGGATATTGTAGCGTGAGGATTAACACGCGCTCGGGTGTGTGGTCAATTTGACCCACAAAGATGTTCGGAATAAGAACCGAACGGCGCGGTGCAGCCACGCCAAATTTTGTATGCTGTCGACAATTTTATAGGAGATCGTTCGGTATCAACAACTTAGATGTTCCTTGTAAGGATACGTACCTACGGGAGGTCAAAGACCATGCAGTTGACGAAAACCATTTCTAGGGAATCGTGCAACCTAATAAAACAAGTGCCAGACAAGTGCCAGAAAACAAGTGCCAGACAGAGTGTCAGACGTAGCCATGCATTTCTGAGATAGTTTATAAGGTAGCACAACGATTAAATCACTGAATTATATTCCCCTAGTGTCAGGTATAGGGTGAGATCAAGGCAAAAACAAAGCTTTTTTATTTTAGAGCTTGCTGTGTGGGGTAAATTC